GAGAGAGAGAGAGAGAGAGAGAGAGAGAGAATAGAGAGAATAGCTATAACGCGCCGCGGCATTGTTTGCGCGCAAACGTCGCAAAGTTTGCGACCGGCGAGATTGTGTGCGTCAAAAGGTGCGGATTTGAAAGTGTTTTAAAGGACGGTTTCTAACGTGACTAGAAATGCAATTGGTCTTTCTGCGCACATGCTCCTTTCTAACGCTGGATTCCTGATTGGATCTATTTTAGGTGGAGTTATTTCCCCTCAAGAGAAATGAATGCAATATAGCGCGCGCATTCGCAGGGCTGGACATTTCCCTTCGTTTTCAGTCTCCTCAATTCTTCCCTGCAATACAGACACTGCCAGAATCGGTCTAAATGAGTGCCAGGACCTCGGAGAGACTGGCGCCCTCCATTCCCCACTGTGCCTTAAACGGAACCGCTCTGGCCGGCAATGGCACCTGCTTTGACCGGGTGGATCAGCTGTTCCAGGCGTTCTCCTCCACCGTCGTGCTTTTCGTGCTCATCGCGATGATCGTTGGGATAATAATCGTGTCCGTCACGACCTTCCACTTTCACAAAAGCAAGATGAAAAAGCGCAAGATACAGAAAGCCCAGGAGGAATACGAGCGCGACAGCTGCAGTCCCAAAACGGCCAAAGGCAAGCCGGTGGTCCGGCAGTGCATCATGGTGAGACCCCCCGCGGCAGTGCGCAAAAGTGATCCAAACACGGAGGATCCTGGCGTGACAGAGGACAAGAGACACTCGGGACAGACCAAGGAGGAGGACTTGTTGGAATCGGTCGCTGTGTCTTGATAACGCAGTGCCAGCCTTTGGAGGACGCTGTAAATAACCTCTGTATTCCTATGATATTACCTACGGAATATGTCGATTCTTTGTATAAGCATTAGAGTTGATAAGTTTTCATCGTAGGAACGGTTTTTGAGAAGGACTGAGGGAGGACTGCTCATGGAACTGCTATCGTAATTGTGAGCCAATCCTAACGGGATCGAACTAAGAGAGCATTGAGTAAGATCCTGCTGGATAAAATGAAATGAGAAGGATTTTATTGAATATTAGTGGCATAAGTACGAATCAATGCCAATGAGATTGAACAGAAACCCTCCAAGAATCAAATACGCTTGTCATTTCTTGGCGAACTTTATTGAATACTAATTGATGGGATCAAATGAGAATCT